AACATCAATATATTATAAATATCTATATACTTTTAAATAAATTAATTTGTTTCCAGTAATGAAATAAATTTTATTAGGAAGATCGTTTATAAATAGCTTTGTCATATAAATAAAATTAAAAATATTACATGATTTTTATAACTTAGATACCAAATCATTTTTCTTCTTAGTTCGTCTACCTATCTGTTTATTTCGGATAAAGTCTGTAAAGTCTTGAGGAATTTTTCACTGCCAGAAAGTCGATATATTAAAAAACAACTTATACGGTCTTTTATAATACAAATTTTATATATTATTATTAAAGTTACATAAAAAATATTGCTTAAAAAAAGAGAAACCTCGACAGTAATTATTATATAATATAAAGTAATTTCAATTAAAATTACATATGTAGATATGAATAACTGAACATTTTTTGAAATTTATTTTCGCCCAGTGTGTTCACAGCCTTATAAGGCTAATGGAAGTCTTGAAGAACAAATAAAACTCCCGACATCCGATGACTACTTAAATATTTGATGTAAACTAACTTAATGCACCTTACAACTTTTTCTTAAGTATTTAGAAAAGAAAATGTTAAAAAAATAAGTTTTCCAAAACTGTCTAAAGTGAAGGCTTTCCGATTTAACTTCGTTACAAAAATTTGTTGTTAGGGAAAATATACGAAAAATTGTTAATTGATTTCCAAATCTGGGTTAAGTTTTTCTTATATCATACTAGGTTTTTTCCCGCGACTTCGTCCGCGTTCATTTCGTCAGTAATATATGTATAGCTGACCGGGTGAACTCTATTCCGTCTTACAGGCCATAAATCATCAGGTTTTTCCTGTTTCAACCAATAACCATCAACCTATCTGTTATTCTGATGTATAAGCTATATTGTGGTAAAGTTTCATTCAAATCCATTCAGTAGTTTTTACGTCAAAGAGTAACAAACATACATCCATACATACAAACTTTCGCCTTTATAATAGTAGTAGGATTGCCTTTGATTTGTTAAAATATTGTTTTTCTACCAACACTTTTTTACTGAAACATATTATTTTTTCTCACTGAACTAGTATGTATTTTAACTTGATTTTCAATTAATTATTCATATTTTTTTAATAGAATCATTCTAGATAGATTCTAATTCCAATTGCACCGATTGCAATCTACTTTTCAAATGTTGTGGATAACTTTAATGAATAATGAATTAGGGTTCCTTATTTACAGACAAAATAGGACCATTACTAAGATATTACTAACCATCTATCCTTGATAATAATTGATGAATTTCTTCTGCATATAATATTATGAAAGAGGTTTGACATATATATTTTTTAGCCGTTTTTGTACATGATAGTACGGAACTCTAATGATCAAATCCGACTCTCACTTGTCAGATATTATCAGAAGTTATGAGGAAGACTTTTTAAGACCTCGTATTCTTAATGACTTATAATATAAGCTTTTCTAGTTTAAGAAACAGTAAGCCATGTAAAGATTTTGACCAGTGTTTTAATTCCTTTATAAATACTTCAACTTCGTGATAAATTAAATTGAAAATATCTAAGGTAGATTTTATATTCCTTACAAATTTTTGAATAATTTCAAAAACAATGAAAAATATTTTGTTTCTTTCAATTGATTTACAAATAGCAAATGAAACTATTAACAATTTAGACATCCAAATAATGTAGGTAAGATTTAACCTGAATTTATAATTATTTATTTTGTGATATTGTATCCTTGCTTCTATTTTAAATGTTACTACATATCATTATTCATCTTCTACCTGGCAATTTCCCAGCTTTAGCCAGGGTCTGCCTTAGATGTTGTGAATAGTTTTATCTAATTATTTTTACGACCGGTCGCCTGCCTGACATCAACACTCTTTGGGAATGCATTAATCAGTGATGTCTAAATACACTTAGAAAGTAGATATGACTCGTTAAAATCACATTTGTGCTTACCAGGGTCAGGATCGAATCCGCGCCCTCATGAGAGGCGGGCCTTTTAACCACTAGGCCACCACTGACTTACTTTCATTATCAGTTTATCAGAGCCCACTGCTGAGCTGCCTCTTCTCACATGGAGAAGGTTAGAGCATTAATCACTACGCTTGCTCAAGACGGGTTGGCTTTCGTTATTAAAAATTATATTCTGTAGTAAAACGAACTTCCCGCGCTCAATTATTATCGAAAATTCAATAAACAAATCTATTAATAAATACAAATATTACGTGAACGATTTAGTAGTAACAATTCTAAAATAATCTTTATTCCCTTGTACATTGTTTCAAATAATAGGTTGCCGAATTATACCGCGGCGTCCAGGGAAAATACTTTGTTGGCTAATTACCACTGGCTGACTAACTGGCAATGTACAGATTTGATTCTAATGTCAATGTATGAACTAATATTCGAATTGTAAATCAATAAATTAATTAAGTAAATTTTACTATTGAATTTTATAATATACTAGTTTTTTCCCGCAAGTTTGTTCGCGTTAATTTCGGCATTAGTAATACATGTATAGCTGACCAGGCGAACTCTATTCCGTCATAGAGGCCGTAAATAACCAGATATTGAAATTTATTCAGTTTTTTTATAGAACCGAATTAAATATCCTATGTTCTAATCTATCTCTCCACCAATTTTCTTCCATATCCGTACAGTCGTTCTTGAGTTATAAATAGTGTAACTAAAACGATTTTCTTTAATACATATATACGACATCAAATTTATATACAGAAGGTATGTTCATCATTGAATTATAACACAGTATTGGCAATTTGTATATTTTAGTCTACTTACAAACAAGTAACTCAATAAATAAGGGGAACAGGGTATAAGCGTAGGTTTAATTCTATTACCGCGAAATGTAGAGCTAGGTAAGTAACAGGTTGAAAACTAATTAGATATTTTTACATAATAAAGTTGAATTATTAATATTATTATATTAGACAAGATGATAGACAGTCAGTGGTGGCTCAGTGGTTAAAGGGTCCGCCTCTCGGCCTCTCGTCACCGAGGGCGCTGGTTCGATCCCGGCCCGGGCAAGTACCAATGTTATTTTTCCGAATCATATGTACTTTCTAAGAGTATTTAGACATCACTGATTAATGTTGATTCCCAAAAAAGGGTTGATGTCAGACAGGCGGCCGGTCGTAAAAACAAATAGCCAAAAACTATTCACAACATGTAAGGCAGACCCTGGCTATAGCTGGGAAATTGCCAGGTAGAAGAAGAAGAAGACAAGATGATATGAATGTAATTTTGTTTATTTGCGTACCTTCAAAGTTTATGTGGTAACTTTAGTGTAGCAGTTTGTATTTGTACTTAGGAAGGAGAAAATATTGATTTTTATGTAAAAAGCCAGTAAAGAGATTGTATGGGAGTCTCGTAGTTGTTAGTAAAACGAATTTTATCCTATAAAATGGCTTTTTAATTTTCCTCGAGCTTGTACAAGATTGAGATTATTATTTGTATTTTTTTGTCCATCATCATACTCGCTTATAGGGTTCATTAATGTTTACGTTTTATATATGTATAATATTTATTATTATAATTTTATCAAAAACTGAAACAAAATTTTGCATACCTACTAACATATTGGTATACAGGTTTTTTGTTTAAAATTTGTCAATTCTCTTTGTTAGAGAATATATAAAAGAAAGCTTTATTTAGACTAATTAAATAAATATACTTCATATTTTTTATTGGACATTGATAAATATATGATATGTAAAGTATTTTAAATAATAATGTATGTTTTATCACATTTTGACTTTACAAGTTTGTCATTTATTTAACTAAAAAATATACGAAATATTTTAAACCAAAAAAACTTTACATATTAAATATTATAATGATTATAAAAATTTAAGATATAGATATATATTATAATTCATACAAAAACGAATTTAAAAACCATTTAAGAAGTATGGAAAGCTTAAAATATATCAAAATGTTTTCAACTGAATATAGACAGACTTTACCTTTTATTTATCAGGTGAAAGCAATGAATTCAAAAACTTTTAATTGAACGATTCAGATTCCTAGAATGTAACGTTCTAGGGTGAAACAAACTCAATTTGCAACTCCCAAGTATGAAGTGGTGATGATAATAAAAATTTAATACGGAGAATAGCTAGATCTAGCGTTTAACCCAGCCTAGGTTCTAGTTATCATGACATATTACGTCCCTAGCCTAATACAATCTACATATACATACTATACTTTGGGAATTCTGCTGTTAGTAAATCAGTAAGAATAATTTAAACCTATAAATTAAATTAAATTAATACGTCAATAGTGAAACTCTTTTCTTTTCTCGTATAACATTTAATTATTTAAATGAAACTAATATTTATCGGATATATTACGCGTACTTTAATTTTGTTAAAAAACTACATAGTCACAACGTTTCGGTTACTTTACAGCAACCGTGATCATTAAGACGAGATGTCAATATCGGTCTATCATTTTATTATGTTTATTATTTTTTCCTAAATACCAAAAATCCTGTTTTGATATCAATTATATAATTATAAAACTAGTCGCAAGTCCCAGTCACTGTTGAAGCTCCTCTCACTACAACGATGGACCCGACACACGCACCGTGAATACATGGAATGATGAGAGGTTTCGTCTCTTCAATTTACCTAAATCACTTTTGTACTTTTAGAGATTACTGACTTGCTTGTAAATAAATACTGCAGTCAAATAATAATGTGCACTAACTTCACGAATACCTCTTGGTGGATATTGATCCAAATTTTGATGTCAGTATCAATCAGTGCTGTGGATATAGATCCAAGCATTTATTAATGAATCGACTAGTTGTTAAATAATAAGGAGTCGTTACTTCACGGTTTATCACGTTAGTTTTTGAATTGCACGGTTTAAATTTTTTTTAACTAAGTTTCATTGTTATAATTATAATGTTGGCGCATGGCGCACTTTAATTTATGATTGGTCGCCAGCATTGCTAAAATTCTATCTCAATGCGTTCCAGATGACTCTCCCAGATCAGAGTAATTTAGTAAGATGGGGTAAAAGTACCGAAAAAACTTGCTATATCTGTGGAAAGGCAGTTGGAACTGCTAAGCATCTGCTGGTGGGATGTAAGGTACTCCTTGACAGCGGTCAATACTCGCGTCGTCACGATAGGGTTCTAGAAGTCATACGTGAAGCAGTTAGTCTTTCGGTAGCCAGAGCGCAAAAGGGAATAACCACAAACGAACGATCAGTAGGTTTTGTGAGAGAAGGCACTAGGGCTACAAAATCAAACGTCAAGCCTTACTCCATCCTTAAAGCGGCGTCGGATTGGACTATAATGATGGACACGTATGAAAAACAATATAAAATCCCCGAGGATATTTGTGCGTCGGCCTCCAGACCGGATATATTTTTTTGTTTTCGCGAATTTTAAAGCGCGTAGTGATGATAGAGCTTACGGTCCCTTGGGAAACCAACATCCCCAAAGACCATACCATCAAGGTCAACAAATATTACGAGCTCACAAACGAACTCACTCGAAATAGGTTCGTAGTAGATTTGTACGCGGTAGAGGTGGGAGCGAGAGGTATAACAGCGAAATCTCTCTATAACCTACTAAAGGACTTGGGCTTGTCCAGAACTCATATTAATGCATTCTTGGAACGTACATCGAAGGCAGCCCTAGTAGGTTCTTTTCAAATTTGGTTAGGTAGGGAGAGGAGCTTGGACAGTGGAGGTGAGCGTATAACGCGCGTTAGTTAAGGGGCCCCTTAAACCTACACTTGGGTCGCAAGTCCCAGGCACTGTTGAAGCTCCTCCCCCTGCAACGCGATGGACCCGGCACCCGCACGGTGAATCCATGGAATGCTGAGAAGTTTCGTCTTATCGTCTTAATTTTTTTTAAGTTAAATAACTAATAAAATGAAACAACTACATATGTACTTATATAATCGTACTCTAAAATACCAAAAGAAAAAGCAAGGAAAGATTTAAGTCAATTGACTGTATATAATTTAAATTTTTCCAGAGTGTGTCTATTTTATCAATGCCTCATTTTTGTACACCTAATCCACATTAAGGACATTGTACACTTTTGTAAACCAATTTTGTACACGGAATCTGTTTGTGTACACGAAGCCTGTTTCGGCCGCTTTGTGCAGTTTCGCAAACGCAATTAAGGTTGGAGACCAAACGATAAAACTGTGTATAGAGCCTTAAAAACGAAATTACTTGGAGAAAGGAAAATAAACTTTAGTTTTGTTATTGTTGAATATTTAATTAAAAACATTGTAAATTTATTTAGGGTGCTGATTTGGATTTAATTTTTAAAGTATTTTAATATACAGGGTGACTGGTGAATTACTATCAATATTTAAGGAGCATACTCGGTACATGATTCTCATTCGAATTATGTAAAAAAAATAGGTACTTAATTTTTGACCAAATTTCCGTATAAATAAATAAAGTGTGTACACGTTCCAAGTGTTCCAAGTGTGGACGCGTGCGGCGGCGTGCTGATACAACAACACGCCGCCGCGCGCGAGTGTGTGTGTGTGTGTGTATACCTAATCTGTAGGGTGTTCATACGATGCGTAATTAATTACATAACTTTTGGTTAACTTTACTTTTTAAGTTTAAGTTTATTAATATTTATGTTATATTAATTTTTATTTTGTCATATATAATCGTCAAATATCACGTCCTCAAATATCGATAGTAATTCACCAGTTACCCTGTATAGGTATATTAGCATTCCCTTGTTGGTTTGTTTATTTGGGGAAAATAATACATTTTTGATATCCTCCAAGCACTTTAGTGTATCCTAGTTTTATCACTGATGGAGTACTTCATTTTGGTTTGGTTTTATGTACATATGTATAGATGTTTGTTACTCCGTTACACTAAAACTACTGAACGGATTTTGATAAAACTTTAAAGTTATGTTGTTAAGATATCAGAATAAAATATAGGCTGTAATTTATTTTATAATTCAGTGAATTTCTCGTTGGTTTTAACTATGTATATGAAACACTTTATAAATCTCTTTCTTACCTCACGAGAGCAAATACTGATGCTTAAATGCATTTAGTTTTAAACACATTATATATTCAAGTCTTATCTACATATGTTTATAAGAAGATTTTTTTAGAACCTATAGAAAATATTTAAAGAACTCAAATATACGAAGACTTAAGCAGAAATTATACTTACTTGTATATAATAATAATATTTCATCTATTTTTTACACCAGCTAGCTATTGACTTCATCCAACTGATTAATTCAATTAGCTATCACAATCGTCCAGCTATATAATTAATTCATCCTTTCAATTAATTTTAATTATTAATTGAAACGTTTCATTCATCTTTATATTTATAAGTTACTAGTTTTCCCGAGACTTTCTCCGCGTTTATTTTGGAATTAGTAATATATGTATAGCTGACCGGGCGAACTCTATTCCGCCCTAGAGGACATAAATAATCAGATATTGGAGTTTGTTAAGTTTTTTCTGTTTCGATCTAACAGAATTAAATATCCTATGTCCGTCTCCTTGTTCTAATCTATCTCTCCACCAATTTCCAACCATATCCATACAGCCGTACTTAAGTTATAAATAGTGTAACTAACACGACTTTCTTTTATATATATATATTGATTTCAACTTATAATACCAGATGTATAGCATTAAAAATGTGATTTTTTTGATAAACAAAGCTATATAATGCCATTGATTCCTTCCACAGCGTCGATAAGATATCATTTTTATTCAGATAAGACCTGTCAGTGCGAGTTTTATGACTCATAAGCATTCACTGAAACAGCTCTTAAAATTTAATAAAAGTTATAATATTTTTTTTCTAATATCTATAACATATATAGGTTAGAAAATCTCTGAATTTATTTAAATTTTTGTGTTTTATTATATAGTAAACAAGAAATGAATAAAATTAACTAAATTTTAATATACATAGTTTAACATTATATGTTGTTCTTATTGTATTAAATCATCATCTAAGTGCCTATCCCGGTCGCTTGTCCTACCCAGGTCCGCTTTCCTACTAAGACTCCACTTTGCCTGGTCTTTAGCATCCTTCTTATTGAGTCCATTGGCACGCATGTCATCAGCACGACATCAAGCCAAAGTTTTTGGCCTTCTTCTACTTCTGGTGCCAGGTAGGGTCATATTAAGGCATTTGAGACCTATATAGTTTTCCGGTCGACGTTTTCTTCATATAATAAATAATAAAGTATAATTATAATAATAATTAATTGTAATAACTAAATATATTTGATGAATTTTATTACTTCATAAAAATAATTTTGTTCTTTCAAATATACAAGTGTAACTAATTTGTGAATATTTTAAAGAAAGGTTTAGAGGAACTTAAAAATAAATGAAACTAATATTTTTCGGATATACTACGCAACTTTATTTTGATAAAAACTACATACTCCCGACGTTTCGGTTACTTTACAACCGTGATCATTCAGACGAGATGCCCGTAGTACATATATCCGCAAAATATTAGTTTCATTTAAATGACGAGCGAAAATTTCTGATCTCATTAAAAATTACTTACATTTCAATTCTTGATATTGACTATCCTTCATATATTTTCGTGAATCGATAATCTGTATGGGAACACATTTTTTCCTGTGTGAATAATTAATTGTTTTGTAATCGGGTCAAAGGAATCAATATCTATTAAGCTTGTAAATTCGTGACTCGTGTCTACGAGTCGAGCCTTATCTATGCCACGCAGTTTATTATAATTTCATTGTATAATATAATTATCGTGGTGGCCTAGTGGTTAAAGGCCCGCCTCTCGTTCATGAGGGCGCGGGTTCGAAACCTGGCAAGTACCAATAATATTTCCGAGTCATATATACTTTATAAGAGTATTTAGACACCACTGACTGATGAAGGAAAACATCGTGAGGAAACCTGGACTTATAATTTCAAATTATAAGTTTGAAATCACCAACCCGTCATGAGCAAGCGTGGTGATTAATAATCTAACCTTCTCCATGTAAGAAGAGGCCTTTGTTCAGCTTTATGCTTTGATAGGCTGATGATGAATATAAATAATTATAATAAAACATTGAACACATTAATTAGTGGACGAATTGGATATTATTTTAGGATTCTCAATAATAGAAACTTTTGAAATAGAATCCTCGTTGTTTTCATAAGAAAAGTACTTATAAGTCGAAAACGTTTCTCTTGCGGCCTGACGCTTCAAAGCGAAAGCGAATAAAAGGTTATGAAAAACTAGTAAAATATTTGAAAGTTCATCATAGTACATTATATAAGAGTATTTAAAATAAAATGTATTATTAACTACAGTTCACTTATGTAAAAATATATATTTATAACACAAATATTTCGCAAAGTATTCTTAGAAACCACAAATATTGTAACTGTTAAAAAGCAAGGAATAGTTCATACCTACTATAATATTATAAATGCCAAAGTAACTCTGTCTGTCTGTTACGCTTTCACGCCTAAACCACCGAACTGATTTTAATGAAATTTGATACAGAGATAGAGTTGACCTTGAGAAAGGACATAAATAGTTTTTATCCCAGACTTTTTAAACGTTCTCTTTGAAACGCGATATAACCGAACTCCACGCGGGCAAAGTTGCGGGTTGAAAGCTAGTTATTATATCACAGGAAATTATGAATTGAAATGTATGTAAAGGAATAATCATTGCGATGTCTGTATTTCCACGGTTTTTGTAGTTTTAAAAGTTGTATCTGTAGGAGGTTTCACTATGGCTGTGTTTATTCTGCGATTGATTTTTATTAGAGTTATTTTAATTTGAAAAATTTGTGATTATTTATAAATCTATGTATATAAATAAAATAGAAGTGTCTGTTTGTAATATTAAAGTAATCGTTTTTACTACATGCATATGATTGTATGTTTGGTACATACACTATAATAATATTTATTAAAATTTTTGTCCGTCTGTTTGTTCTGAATAATCTCTGATATTACTGGACTAATTTTGACGGGACTTTTATCAAGGGAGCGTTCAAGTATTACGTAACGCAATTGTCGAAGATTTTTGACCCCCCCTTTCCCCCTCGTAACGCACAGTAACGTTTTTCTGTAGCCCCCCCCCCCCCCTCTCAAAACGTTACGTAACACTCAAGTGATTAATTTCATCCAAAGTCGTAAAACAATATGTAACAGTTTGGTATAGTTTTAATCTATTAAATGAAAAAAGATCATTGACTCAAATCTCCCTCTTCTGAAGAAATTACACTATAAACAATAATATGAATTCACGGATAAACACTAACGAATACTGACCACGGAAGCAACATTAAAAGACTTACAATGCAATCTAGGTATTCCCCGTAAAATATCAATTAAGAGATTTGCAAACTTGGAATAACAAATAAAAATATCGACCAGACTA